GGATAACTTTTATACTACGATTGGAAAGGAAGAATTCAATAATCTTAAAAATGTTTCCAGATACAACGTAAGAAGAAAGCTTATGGAGAAGACCAGCATGCCAAACTTTATCAAACGCTTTAGAAATGTCAAGAGCAATGGCCTTAATCTCTCCACCTTTATCTAATGCACGATAAAACTTATCGGTTATTACTGTTAGCAAATCAGCCTTAGAACGAGAAGATCGAAATCCATATTGATGATCAAAAAGTAAGTTATGAAATTCAAGATGAGAGATGAAGTGTTTGTTAACTAAAGATTTAAAAATCTTGCTTATGATAGAAAGAAGACAAATGGGATGGTAGTTAGACGAATCAAATTGCTCTCCAGAATTTTTAAAAATAGGGATAACAGATACGGCTTTCTAGCAGACTGGAAAACAAGACTCTGATAAACACTTGTTGAATAGTTTTAAAAGTATAAATGACAGTTTCGAAGAACACTTTTGCAAGACTATAATAGGTATATTGGTTGGGCCACAAGCAGTACAAGAGCCCAAGCAGGCAAACACTTTAGATACAGAAGCTGGAGTGATACAAATGTCAAGCAATAGATAAACCTTTTTGACGGCTATATCAGGTAGAACGCAACTAGTGGAATAATGAGATGATATTGATGAAAAGTTCTTAGCAAACAATCTAGCTTTATCTTTAGGTGAGGTGACAAGGTCTGAACCATACAAAAGAGGTTGAATTACAGGCTTGCCCTTATTATTGGTACAATTAAAGATTCTCCAGAAGTCAGAAGAGCCTAATTTTTGTGATGAAATTTCATAGCCTGAGAATAGAGAGATTTGGCGTTAGACAAAACTTTTTTCAATGGTTCCTAGTAGTAATAAACAGGCGTCTGTTTTATGGAGAATTATTTTGCTGATAAATGTGAAAGTAATGGTTTTGATTGGCAATTGCAGCAGCACAGTGTGAGGAAAACCATGGAGAAGAGTGACCTGGAATCGTCAAGAGGGAATAAAGGATTCCGTGCCAGCCTGAAGTTATGTTAGAAGCACATTTGTCAAAAGAAAAATGAAAGGTTTCTACCCAAGGGCCATCACAAAGAAATCACGGAAAGAGTCAGCATTAAGGTAGTTGTAAGATGTTCGATGATAGAGTGATTCTGATGATAAAGAAGAATAAGATAATTGTTTTAGAGAGATAAAACTGTGATCAGAGGCACCTAAGGATGAATGTGGAGAAACTGAGCACTGTCTAGGATCAGAAACAAGACATAAGTTGAGTAGTGAAGGTAAATGATTCGGGTTGTATGGAAAGCGAGTTGGAAAGTTGACTATTTGAGTTAGGTATTGAAAAAGGCAAAAGTTGTGGGCTTTAATGCCTGCAGAGTCACTGACACTAGAGCCAAGCCATTCAGTGTGATGAACATTAAAGTCATCGACAAAATCAATATTTGCTGATGGATAAAGAGAGAAGGCTCGGTCAATATGATCAGAAATAACATCAAGAAGAATGCAGTCTTGAGATGAAGGAGAGCGATATAGAACAAAGAGAAAGGTGATAGAGTGAAGTGGTACTATACGAAAGCACATAAAAGAGTAATCTGTGGATTCAAACCTAGTGTCTCGACAAATGGGTTAATTCTTACGAATGTAAATGCCCAGGCCAAGCATGTGACTATTGGAGTCTTTAAAGACTCGAATTAAAGGAAGATAACCATCAACACTAAGATCACAAGATGAGACAGCTGAACTCAAATTAGTCTAGCAAAGATTAAGTAATTCTGATGAACTTTGCAAGAGATAAGACTTAACAGAAGAAAAGTTACTTCAAAGACCACGAATATTAGTGAATGATAGGTTTAGCGAACTTGGTGATGACAGTGGTTTTTTGTGTTGTATAGTTTTTGTTACTTTATTCATTTTTAACTTTGTTAAAGAACTTGACTCGAAACATAGATAGTACTCAGTACACTGATTAACAGCCCAAGCAATTGCCTCGTTACTATTAATAAACCCTAAGCCGGACCAAAAGGCTCCAATGTGGCCTTGGCAATGCACACCAAAAGTACAAACAGGGACACCACCCATGCACAAAATGGCACTGCTAGTATTTTGATATTTTTCAGCTGTTGATGGAATCAGCCTCTCTGAGAGCTACCACAGAATTCTGGAAACCTGACTACCAGCCGGCCTCAGAATCATAAAACTGAGTTTTAGAGCTTTACCCAGGAGATAATAGAATGAGTTGCCTAGTCATAAAAACAGAGGCACAAGCAAAACCCATGCATCGAGTTTAAAAGATCCAGCATTCAACATCCTTAAATGGAAACAATGTATTAAAAATACATCTGCGCCAGCCTAATAGATGAAGAAGGGGTGCTGGTCAACAGATAAAATCTGTTTACTCCGTAAGTCTTTGCCTAAGAGGCCTTCTGCAAAACAGCAACCAGATGCATTTAACATCTGCCCAAGATGAGCATTTTTATCGAGACACTATCTCTAGTCTTTGCTTAACCAAAAACCCCAAAGCAGGGAATATTATGTCGAAGTTGGCATCTCCTAGCCTAAAAAGGTGTATCCTACAAGGCAGCAGGACATGAAGCAGATTGTACTGGTTACATGTTACCAGTAGCAAGGTAAACCTGACCTGACAAATATTATTATTATGTATTAGATATGTAGTTGTAAGTCTTGTAAATTTTCATTATTCAAGGTTAATTAACATTATGATTTCTCAGGTACTGGCGCAATTGTTTAGAGTACAAATATCTATACAGATTTATCAATATGTTGAATATCGTCAATGACATGACAGAAAGAGGAATCAAACTGATTCAAAATTTCACCCATCTGTGTCAGACAAGACAATAAAACAGAACCTGCTACTTAGTGTGGTAGACCATAGAAAAAGGCTCTCAACAAACATGAAAGTGGATTTTTCAAAAGTTGTAAAATGTTAAATTAAAAATGTTATGTTTAATTTAAATATGTGATTTATTTGAAAACTTATGATACAGTAGTTATTTATGATAAATACTGAACTTAGGTTTTTTTCAATTTCTGTTTGATCCAAGTTTTTTTTTGGTGGAGAGCTGAAGGGTTAGCCCCTCCTCCCCCCTCACAGACTTAGTTAAGAGAAGGGGGTGGGGTTAAAATCCCTAGCACCTTTCCCCTTAATACTGTCTTGAAATTTTGCAAAATATATTGCTGTTTGAGATGCAAATTGTGCTTCCATCTTTCTTGAAAAGATTGTTAATTACTTTTATTAGATGTTAAAATGCAAAATCGCGCAACCTCCACTCTTCTCTACATTGAAATAGAAAATTCATAAATCATTCACAAAGGGTAACTACAGCACATGCACACATATACATTTTGAATTTATAACTTAAGGGGGGTTTAAGGTACATATGCATACATTTTAAATGTATTTTACAAAAAGAGTGCTCAATGTTCTTAAAAGAACAGAACAATAATAAATTAATAGAAAATCACTTAATAAAAATCTAACAAAAATTTGAATTAAAAAATAAATAAATTGATATTTATTAGATACCAAAGTTAAATGTTTAATGAAAACTTTTTGATAAGTGATTTTCTACTAATTTATATATATTTACAAATGTGTATCAGCGCTCGAAATAATTATTCAATGATTGCCGATCAACATTGATCGGCTGAAATAAAATTAAATAAAAACCAGACGATCAAGTCATTTTCTAGACGATCAATTTTTTGTTAAATTTTATTAAAATTTAAAATGCTTTTTTTTTTTACTTTAAATAATCAAATTGATTTAAAATAAGTTTGTTAATTTAAAACTAAACGTTCGTTTTTCCGAATTTCTTTTCAAATGTTTTGCTTGAGTAAAAATAAAACATTGCCGTTTTTATTATAATTATTTTGTTTAGAATTTAAATTAACATTAGTTTTGCCACATTTTAATTATTTTATGTAGAATTAAAATATGATAATTTTTTATTTTTTTAAAAGTATACTATTTAAAGATGTTCGTTTAAAATAAAACATAAATTAGTTTTTGATTTTGCTGTTTTTTTATTTTAGTTATTTTATTTAAAAAATAAGTTACACAGTTGTTTTGCCACTTTTATTTTATTTGTAATTTAAATAAGTTGTTTGTTATTAAATTAAAATGAATTAAACTAAAAATATAATTCATTTTAATGTTATAATTTTGATGTTAATTTAATATTTTTAATTTTCTGTATTTCAAATGTTTTTCTGTGATATATATATATATATATATATATATATCTGTGATATATATATATATATATATATATTTATATATATATATATATATATATATATCTGTGTGTGTGTGTATGTGTGTGTGTGTGTGTGTGTGTGTGTGTGTGTGTGTGTGTGTGTGTGTGTGTGTGTGTGTGTGTGTGTGTGTGTAAAACGAAAAATTTAATAAATGATTTTCTACTATTTTATTTTTGCTCTGGTCTTTTAAGAACATTGAGCACTTATCTTCATAGAATACATTTAAAATTATTTGGATATATATATATATATATATATATATATATATATATATATATATATATATATATATATATATATATATATATATATATATATATATATATATATATATATACTTTTGCCAATTTTGGTTGGCACATTCAATATATTTTTTAAATATATTGAAAAAAATATTTATTTTGCACGCTTTAATATTTTTAGTTTTAAACATGTTTTGACAGTTTTTCGGATAAATTAGAGTAATAATAATAATGATGAAAAACAAAATTTTTACAAAATAATAATATCAATTGACAAATGTATTAAATCAATCAACTCTGTGTTAATATCTTAATTTATAGAATATTGTGTTATCTTTTTTTAATAAAATTAACTTTTTGGTTGACATTGGTTTATTTATTTTGTTATTATTTTTTAGTAAAGAAAAAGCGGGTTAATGCAATAAACTTGTAGATGTTTCAATCATTTAAAATAATTTTTTTTTCACCTTAATCAGGGTAAAAAAGTTTATGCTGGGCTAAGAAAGGATGGCAGTATTTACAGTAAAGGTAAAGATTTTCAATCAGTCGAAGATTGGATATTTTTTATTCGTGGTGCAAAAGTTTCTAAGCAAACACTAATGAAAATGGTAAGATACAGTTGATAGTAATAGTAATAAAAATAATGCTTTGTAAAATACTGTGCCAAATCAATTTTAGTTGACATTAAAAAAAAATAAAGGTTTGATAGTAGTTTTTTTAAACTTTGAAAATTTTTTTTGTTTGTTTGTTCAAGTTGTATATTTCACTAAATCTACATTTTTATTTTATTGTTAAAGTTCGTAATATCCCTAGTTATATTGCTACATCTGTTTATTATATTGTTTAAGTTAGGATATTGGTAGGCATTATTTCTACTTGAATAAAAAAACTCAAGGTTGTTTAAAAGGATTTACCTTATCTGATTACTGATATGTATTATTATGAACTTATTTCAGATAAGTAATAACTCTATTTTATCCTAAGGCTGCTCAGGCTTAGAGCCTGGGGTTGAGGCTGTTTTACATCAGCAACCTGACTCTTTTGAGTTATCAAGAAGTATAAGAAATATTTAAATTACCAAAGAAAAATTTTATAAGGTTTAAAATATCTTGGATCTCTTTGATGTATAATTTTGGTGGTGTTACTATTCTAAAGAGATTCAAAAATAGTTAGAAAAATATTTTTTACCATCATAAATAAAAGTGAGAAATATAGGGAAGGTGTATATTATCTTTTTGTTTGTAATATAACTGATTTATATTACTTAGGTTAGATATATTGGAAAACCCCTTTCATCACTAATGCTGTCAAATAACAAAAAATTGCTAAAGTCTGATGCAGGGTATATTATTTATTTTATATTGTTTTTTTAAATCTGAATCTATATAACTAAATAGTTTATGGAGTAAACTTATATTATTAAATAGTAGTATACATAAAATGTGAACAGTTTTATTTCTTAATGAATGTGTTGAGTATTTTTAAAACTCACCATAAAACCAACCATAGTCTATAGGTTCCTCCTAGATTTGCATGTTTTTTATTTCAGACTTTTCTTAATGGTCAGTTGCTTTGACCACAACAAAGGAGTCTCATCTGCCCTAAATATGTTAATTTTTAATTAAATTAAAATTTTTAGTTGGTTAGATGTTTTAACTTTTTTGTCCAAGTTATTTACAAGATATATTTTAAATATAAATATTCATTAATTCAATTCAGACCTCTGGCAGACACATGCTAGATATCCAAATTTCAGTTCAAGTTTCATTGAAATTTTTTTTAATGTTTTTTAGATTTTTATAGAAATTAAATTCAAAATGTGTAAATTTTTATTACTTTTTTAAATAAATTGTCCTCTACAATGTCCTTCACAAAGTTATTTGTAATTATTTAAAATTATATAATTAAGTTTGAAAAAAATCTCAAGTGTATGTTTTACTTGAAGCAACAAATTAATAATATTTTAAACATGTTTATATCATTTTAAAGCAAATTAAAAAAGTGCAAGGCATAAGTGCATTTAAAAAAAAATGATAAACGTAGTTTTTTGTAGTTGATAGTACCCAGAGCCGTGGCTAGGATACCCTACACCCCAAATAGAGGAGGGGGAAGCATTTTTAAGGGACCCATTTGCAAATTTAGGTGCCCTTTTACAAATTTAAAGAATTTCAATAATACTTAGTGAAAATTTTTTTTAATTTTAGGGCCCTAATGACAAAAGTTTTTTTCAGGGGGGGGGCCTTCAACTTAATAACTCTCAAATTAATATATACATTCCTTACCTGCACCCTAAATTACGTAAAACAGAAGAATAAGATCTGAAATAAAGGACGTTGTCAAAAATTTGTTGTTTACACTTGGTACACACAAGTTTTTAAAAAATATTTTTTTTGTAGTATAGTGTAAATGTTAGGGTTATTTGATTAATTAATAGCCAATGTTTTCCAGCCACTTCTTAGATTACGAATGTAACTTTTACTAAATATTTCAGACCGTCATCAGACGGTGAACTAACTATGAAAAAACCTGTTAAAAAACTTTTCAATTTTTAATATGGTTTTATTTTGTAACGGTTTTTTATCTTTTTTTGTGTGTGTGTTTTATGTTTAATTCAGAGTAGAATCCAGTCAGGTTACTCTATTTGTTTGCATAAATATAGAAATTTGATGGAAATTAAATTTATCCATTTAAATTAAATTTTAATGGAATTTAAAAACTTTAATTCTTATGGGAAAATTTATAATTAGCTTACATAACATATAAAAGTAAGTTATAGTAAACAAACTAAAGGTTATAACAAATAAATTAAAGGTTATAATAAATAAACTAAAGGTTATAATAAATAATTTATAAATAATAAATAAACTTTTGTTAAAGTTACAAAAGTTTTAGTAAGTTGCTTTCGTAAAACATGGAACCTTTAAAACCCTTTTTTAAATTTAAAATCTTTAAATATTTTTTATACATTATTATCTCATGAATGTGTTATACATGTTATATTTTTAGAGTCCTTTTTATTTTCAATAGCTTTTAGAGCATTTAAATTATGTACAAACCCAAAATAGATATCGTTAAAAAAAGTTGTAAGGCGCTAAGTTCACAAAATAGATAATAGGGTGCCATTTTAGCGTGTTATATCTTTAAAAAATCTATATATATTAATAGTTTACAAGGCATACGTTACTTGCACAAAACTATGGAGAATGACATTAATCACATCTTGGGTACTTTGCTTGGACACCATACTAAAAATATAACAAAATAACAATTAAGGTTTATGCTCACGTTATTTGGATATCTTTTTTTCTAAAAAACGATAGCATAATTATGCCTATGTTTATCGTAGTATGTATATATGTATATGTTTATGCTATCGTTGTATAGTACCGCAATCAATCTGCTTCTATGCGCAGCGGCTTAGTTTAACAAAATTTGTATAGCGGAGTTTTGAGAGGGTTGAGAGATAGTTCCAAATAAAATTAAAAAATGAGCGATGTATTCGATTGTGATATCCTTGGCTCTAGAGACTCGGTAAATGTGAATTTAGTTAGAAAAAATACGAAAAAAGCTCAAAGTTTATTGAATATATTTTAGGTTTTACTGATATTCTACCATAAAAATAAAATAAGACAATATTGATTATGATTTTTGTATTGTTTTTATATTATCAACGAGAAGAGGTTATGACTTTATTTAGAACTAGTTATTGCACCGGTCAAGAAATTTCGAACAGTGATAATTCGGTATTTTTAAAAAAGGTGCCAATTCAATCTATTATTCCAGAAGAAAGTAATTTTTCACTTCAGTCTCAATTCTCATTGAATGTTAACGTTCAAAAAAATACAGAAACAGTTCAATCGATTAGTGATGATATTCAAATGAATGATATTAAGACAAATCAATCAAACGTTTGTAGTACGGAAATTGATGCTCTTGAGACAAAACAATCGAGCATCAGAACCACCCAACTAACGGATTGTATACAGGCAACAAAACCAAATAAAGAGGCAACTTCAAAAAATAAAAAAAGGTTTTTCGATATGGAAGTTAAAAAAGATTTTATTGAAAGCATTTGTAATATCCGACTATTTGACAAAGACGAGTTTGTAAAATCATCAGATATTTTACCTGATGGCTTCTGGGATAGCACTTTTTTTAAAATTGATGAAGAGTTTATAAGGCGAGTAGGATTTTAGTATTTATAGTATTTTATTTTCAATTAACTAAGTTCTAGATTGGGTTTTGTTTATATATATATATATATATATATATATATATATATATATATATATATATATATATATATATATATATATATATTTATGTTTACATAAACATGTAAACATAAACAAGTATATATATAAATATAAAATGGTTCTGTATTTTACTTTCCTGAATGCTTAACATAGTTTTGTGTGTATAAGTGTCAGTTATTTTAAGATTTTTATTAATTATTTGGAAATTTGTCTTGTATTGTTAACAAAAATCACTACAAATGATGTGAGCCATATAAATGTAAGATTTAAATATTTTGCTCAATACATTTGGGTCATAATTTGATTAAGCTTCTTTTCCGATAAACTTTAAACTTTTGGTGTTGTTTAATATGATTTTATAAAGTATGTTTTGAGTTTTAGTTTCGTTTTTTTCGTTTGTATAACAATTTTATTGGTTTCTGCAACATTAATTTGTTTTGACTATATTATCTAAGAGGTTTTACTAATAAAGTTAATATAACTTTTTAAACATGTAAGATTTTTATTTAAAACAGTTTTATATATTTTATTATAACTATGATTATAGTATAAACATTATTAGTTGTTAACTATTTATTATTAATTGCTACTAAGTTTGTTCCGTATTGACAAAATATAGTTGACATATTTTCATGGGTAACCAAATTAAGTTTCTTCTGTAACAAATATTTAACATTTCAAGGACTTTAGTGTTGATAAACTGCGTAAACCTTTTTGCCTCCACTTTTCTTCCGCAGCAGACGGCGACTACCTCCCAAATAATTTTTGCGGCAATATTTTCTTTATTCCGCCTCCAGTGGCTTCCGCCTTTCTATTGGCGGCCGCAGTCAGAATTTTTTTTTGGAGGCAAAATGTTTTGGAGGCCGACGCCAATAAAGAGGCGGAAGCCAATGGTGGCCGCCTCCAGAAGAAATTTAGAAAGCAAAACCATTTGAAGGCCGCCTCCCATAGCCTCTGCCTCCAACTGGCTGCGGCCAACAAATTGCAGGCGGAAATATTTGCCTCCCTCCGGCGGATGTAATAAAAAATAATTGTACGTTTCTCTTTAAGTTAACGAAAAATAAAATATTAACTGAGAACTAATGTTAAATATTTGACATCAAAGTTTTGTTTTATACGATTTATTGACTATTAAAAAAAATTTGAAAAAAAAGTTATAATTTTGTCAGAGCAGTTGTTTTTCTTGGACTATCGAATAAATCTTTAACTTTTAAAACGTTTTAAACTTTAAATCGCGTGTAATAATAGATGATTCCTATTTGAATGAATTTATAAAAGTATATATGTTTAAATTTGTTTTTGCAATTGTTGTTGTAATTTGGCAAAACCATTAGCGTAATACAGCGTGGTCGCTAGTTTTTAATAAACATTAGCAGATATTTTTTCAATAATTTTTACAATATCCAATTATTAAAAATAAGTATTTAACGTATATGTGTGTTTGGTACCACAAAGATTTTTAAATTTTCAAATATTTGTAAAAATGATTAAATATATGTTAAAAACTACAGTGACGCCAACTGGATTTTTCGGTTTAGTAGATTTTACACTTTCAGGTGTTGCAACGCCTATAAAATAATAACATAAGTATGTAAATTTGTAAGTGTATTTAAGTAAATGCAATATATACATATACACACACACACACACACACACACACACACACACACACACACACACACACACACACACACACACACACACACACACACACACACACACATATATATATATATATATATATATATATTTATATATATATATATATATATACAAATGTATATATAGTTATAAACAACGCATATAAATAACAAACAAAGAACAAATGTTTTTTTCTTCTTTGCAAATTATTTGGTGAACAAACAATCTAGTGAGTGGTCAAAGCTCAATTTAGATGATAGAAATGGATTCCTTAACTTATATGCATATAAGATGTGTAATGTGACTATTTTAAAATGTTTTCTATTTTTGCTTACTTTTGGTATATTCTGCCCAACTGTGTAACTGCTATAAAGAAAAATAAAAATTAAAAAATTAAAAAGGGGAAGCTGAAGACTATAGTACGTCATTGCAATCTTTTCATAGAACCCAAATATAAAGTTGCAATAAAATATTGTTATATTAGGATTTATCGTAAACGATAATAAAAATCTATACGCTGATAAGACAAACAAACAAAAAGTTTAAAAAAGGATTGTATAGCACGATTTCATATTAACTTAAAGCGCAAATATTTCTTTTTTTATTTTATAGAAAATTAAACGAACTTAACGACTTAACTTAAGTTCTTTATATATAGGTATTTCGTATTTTTGATTGATGCTCCATATTTTTGATAGATGTTACATACTTTTGATAGATATTTTATATTTTTGATTATTCCACATTTTTGGTTCTCAATATGCAATGCTATATTTTGTATATTTATTAAATTTCTGGGCAGTTCTTAAAAGAATGAAGACAGATGTAGCTCTCTAATATAAGCTGGCGTAACATTTGTACTTACTCAAGATAAAAGTGCATCTTTCTAAAACAAAGTGATGTAATATTTGACACTGCAGATCAGGGCTGGCAAGAGTAGTTCTCACGTTGGGGGTTTTGGGCGCCATTAAAATTTAATCACCTGTTTGTAATTTGTTAAATAATCTATTTGTTATCTGTTATATCATCTATTTGTAAACCTAGGTAAGCAAATAATAATAATTTCTGGCCATACAAACAAAAATTATTCTTCTGAACTTAAAGCAAACTTAAGAAAGTGTAATTTAGTAAAATTTAAACTTTGGCAGCTTTTTTTGTTAAACTTTTAATACGAAAAATACGGAAGAAAACACAGGTTTGAAACAGGTTTGAAAGGTTTAATACGGAAGAAAACACAGGTTTGAAAAAACTCAAATGTTTTACATTTTTTTAATCATAAGTTAAATTCGAGTGAGACCATAACTAAATAAACCTAATTCGTATTTAGCTGTTTGTAAAAAAGATTAGCTAACTCTACAGTATTCTTAAAGAACAAAATCTAAAAATAATGAAATAAAACGTAAAAGTTTAAGTTTTTCATATATTTATTTTCCCCGTGGATACCATTCTTGTAAAAACAGTCTGATGCCATTTTGTATCTCTGTATTTTTAATGACGTATGTGTATAGTTGCATATAATTAGTGGATTAACCCTTTAAAGATCTTTATAAGAATAAAATTAGTTATTTGATGTTTTATTACAAATAACTACAATACAATAATTACAAATAACTGACATAAAAATGCATACATTTTATATTGCAAGCCAATTAATATAAAGAGATACTTGTTTAAGGTAAAAGTGGATGAGTTCGAGAATCTAAATACGACTTTAACTCAGGACTTTCTCTAATGCGTTTATTCAGCTCGAGCAATAAGGGATAGTTGCTTAAAAATGATTCGTCAGCTAATCCACTGTATGTGAAGAATGTTAGATCCCCTAGAGATATCTTAAAAAAAAGAAATAAAAATATAAAGATTTCGGTCATTTTAATTACAATATAAACAGATAAAACATTTCCATTATAATGTATTTTTAAAAATTAAAAATACTCTGCAAATTAAATAAAAAAATTTTAACAATTTAGTTTTTGTTTTTCTTTAAAAACTTTTTTTTCTCGTCAAAACATGATCAACATTTTTTTTTTTTGTAAGCTAAAAATTAAGTTTTTTGTTAGAAAACTTTTTCATTTTTTGGTAAATTTAAACGTATTCTCATCTCTCCATTAAGCGTTAGTCAAAAATTCTTTTTAACAACATTAATAAAAAAATCTTTAAAAAAAAGTTTTTAAACATAAATGTTTTATTTTAGAATTAGTCTTATTTAAACAAATTTAAACATAATTTTCGTCATTTCTTTACTTAGAAATTTCAGACAAGAGCTTCGTTAAGCTTAACGGAGAAAAGTGAATACAGCTGCAGGCTGTTAACAGCTTTTTTAGATGTTACCATTAGTTACCATTTAGAAAAACTGATATTTTGCTTTTTTTAATGTTGTATTAATGTTAAATAGTTTTATGAAAAACAAAATTAGCAAACTAACGTTATAAAAATTAGAAAGTTTAAGATATGGGACCTAAATTGATATTAACAAAAGCTGAAAAATGTTATTATTGAATAAAAACGCACCGAATTACCAACAAAGAAACCAAGTCCATTATTGTTACGTTGCAACAAGCTTTCCATGAAAGAAAACTTCAATTTAGTTGTTTCATTTGCAAATAATTGTTCAAATTCTTTTATCTAAATTAAAAAGGTTAGCTTAAAATTTAAGTTTGTTCGTGGTGCAAAATAACTTTTAGGGAACCACTAAACAAGATTTGATTTATTTATAAAATAAACTTTGAGTATCAATTTTTTGAAAATCAAATGCAAAAAAATTTTTTTTTTTGAAAAGCAGTGCATTCATAAAATAAAATTTTGATGGTTCATTTACAAAATAAAATTTGGTTTATGAATTTGTAATTGAATAGATAACTATCAGATATAAAAACCTTTTGATCACTATTTAATGTTGAGTTCATCCAAATTTGTAAATATTCCTTTACAAGATCATTTAGAGTCTCACAGACTTGATTAATAACCGCTCTTTCAGATGCATTAGCTCCATTCATACAAAATATTTCGGCTAAGTAAACATTAATAGCTGTAGATTGACAAATAACCTGACCATCGACTTCTAATGTTGGCATTTGTCCCAATGGAAACCTAGAACCTTAATTTATTCTCCAATAAGTAGAAAAAAACAAACTATCTATCTACTAATTAATAATGAGTAAAACAAAAGTTCAAAATAAAAAAAATGAAACAGTGTTTAAACTCAAAATTAAGTAAACTTACGGTCACTTTTATGAGCTGGCCAATCATTGACTTTGTTGTCCGTAAATTCAACCCCTTTATAATGAAATAAAAGTCTAGCTATTTCACCTCTGCCTTGAAAACCAAAATAGTTTAAAACGT